ACACCTTGTTATCCTAGCGTTGATTAAAGAGCGGGTTAGTGCTGGTGAGAGGATGTCCCAGATGGGTCAAGGACAAAACATATAAATAAAACAAAGAACTGCAGATGCTGGAAATCTGAAACAAAAACAGAAATTGCCAGAGAAACCGCTGGGAAAGATATCTGTGCAGGATCAAATTTACAAGGAAATTACAGAGAGGATCTAGACCCGAAACGTCAGCTTTCCTGCTCCTCTGATGCTGCTTGGCCTGCTGTGTTCATCCAGCTCTACACCTTGTTATCTTACAAGGAAATTACAGCAAGATCCAAGAATTATAGAGTGACTGTAATAAGGAACTTTAATTATCCCAATATAGTGGGATAATAGTGTTATTATTTTTATTCATTCACGGGATGTTGGTGTCACTGGCCATAAATTCATTGCCCATAATTGCTTTGAGTGGGCAAGTAAGTGGCAGATGGAATACAATATGGGAAAGTAATGAGGTTAATAGTAACAATAGAGGCATAAAATATTTTCTAAATAGGGAAAGGTTTCAGAAATCTGAAGCACAAAAGGATTTAGGAGACCTAATTCAGGATTCCCTTGAGGTTAACATGCAGGTTCATTTGACAGATAGGAAGGCAAATGCTATATTGGCATACATTATAAAAGGGCAAGAATAAAAGAGCACAGGTGTACTGCTGAATCTGGAGAAGGCTTTAGTCATACTGCATAGATTCATAGAGACATACAGCATGGAAACAGATCCTTCAGTTCCAACTCATCCATGCCGACCAGATATCCTAGATAAATCTAGTCCCATTTGCCAGCATTTGGCCCATATCCCTCTAAACCCTTCCTGTTCGTATACCCATCCAGATGCCTTTTAAGTGTTGTAATCATACCAGCCTCCACCACTTCCTCTGACAGCTCATTCCATATACACACCACCCTCTGCATTAAAAAAAATGCTCCTTAGGTCCCTTTTATATCATTCCCCTCTCACATTAAACTTGTGCCCTCTAGTTTTGGACTCTCCCACCCTGGGGAAAAGACCTTGCCTATTCACCTTATCCATGCCCCTCATGATTTTATAAGCAATATATTTCCAAATCAGAGTGGTGAGTCACTTGGAGGGGCTTACATGTGGTGGTGTTCTCATGTATCCTTCTAGATTGTAGTGGTCGTAGGTTTGAAAGGTGCTGTCTAAGGATCCATGGTGAATTTCTGCATTGCATCTTGTAGATCATACACTCTGCCACTACTGAGCGTTGGTGGAGCAGGCAGCAGATGTTTGCGGATGTAGTGCCAATCGAGTGAGCCGCTTTGTCTTAGATGGTGTCAGGATTCTTGAGTGTTGTTGGAGCTGCACCCATCCAGGCAAGTGGCAAGTATTCCAGCTCAGTTTCTGGTCAATGATAACTCCCAGGATGCTGGTAGTGGGGCATTCAGCAATGTTAATGTCATTGACTATCAAGGGGCAATGATTAGATTGTCTCTTATTGGAGATGGTCATTGCCTGACACTTGGGTGGTGTGACTATTAATTGTCATTTCTCAAAATTAGTTATCCAGTTATTAGTTAGTTTAGTGCATTTGGACACAGCGTGCTTCAGTATCTAGGAAGTCACGAATGGTGCTGAACATTGTGCATCATCAGTGAACTGTATCACTGATGTGTAACTACTGTACCTCTCCAATATACTACTGCCCTTCAATTATAGTCTGTTCTGATATACAGTTACTGTATCTCTGATATATATTTACTGTATCTCTCTGATATACAATTACAGTCACTATTTCATATTCAATCACTGTATCTGATATATAATTACTGTATTTTCGATATATTGCTACTGTCTCATTCTGATATACTACTACTGTATCTGTTCGATATACAATTACTGCGTCTCTGACATATGTTGGCTATCTGATATGTAACTGCCATATCTTTCTGATATATAATATTGTATCTCTGATAAATAATTACTGTATCTCTCTGATATAGAAACTACTGTCTCTCTGATATATAACGGCTGTCTCTTAATATGTATTTACTGTCTCTCTGGTATACTACTGTCTCTTTGATATATAACTATTATTCCTTAATATATATTAACTGTCTCACTGGTACACTACTGTCTCTCTGATATATAACTACTATATCTCTCCAATATACTCCAATCTCTCTGATACACACTTACAGCCTGTCTATGATATACAATTACTGTGTCTCTATTGTATAACTGGCTGTTACATAACGATTGTCTGTTGATATATATAACTACTGCATCTCATAACTACTATTTTTCTGATACATAACTACTATACCTTTGACATATAACTACTGTATCTCTGATATATAATTAATTCCTCTCTGATACATAATTCTTGTCTCTCTCTGATATGTAACGACTGTATGTCAGATTTATAATTCCTAGATCTCTCATATATAACTACCATCTCTGTGATATTTAACTACTATATCTCTGGTATGTAATTCCCGTCTCTCTCTCATATCTAATTGCTGACCCTCTCTGCTATATAATAAATGACCATTAGATGAACGCCCGCAATAGTCCTACTCCCTGATTTGATTGCAGCTTACTGGCCGCTGCAGTTATATCACACCTGTAGGCGGGGCCTTGACGGATGAGCGGAGCTGATTGGCCTGTGGTCGGGCCCGCCCCTTGAAGGACGACGGCGCGCGGTGTATTCAAACCCGGAGACAGCTTGACAGCTTAACAGCTACTTGCCCGCGCGCTCGCTAACCCACCTGGACCAACCGTCTCACCTCAGCGCGTTCCCGAGATCATCGCCCCCCCCCACCCCCCCGGCAACTCTTCAGCCCCGTCCTCACGGTGACCCATCATGGCGGCTGGCCTCCGTGTCCTTTTCCTTCTCGTTCTCTTCTTTGCCCTCGCCGCTACCGGCTGCTCGGAAGCTTTCGGCTGGTTCCTCCGTAGGGAAGCGGCTGGGAGTCCCACTCCTTCTCCCTCTGCCGCCGGCGACCCGCAGCCCCTCTTCGAGATGACCGCGGTCGACGCGAAGTTTGTGTCCGAAGGCCGGCAACTGGATCTGAGCCTGCTGGACAGCTGTCATCACCAGGTAATGCTCACATTGATGGGTTCATGCCAAAACAAATACTCGGATTTATATCAGCTCGCCTTTTCCAAATGGTGGTAAAGCTTTCATGTTGTTTAGATTTTTTTGTTTATTGAAGGGATGTGGGCATCGCTGTCATACCATAGGATGTTATAATGTCTTTCAATATTTTTTCCCCCACATCTCGCATCGTGTACGACGAGCCTGCCAATAGCAGTGCTAACATTGCTGAACTAGCTTTTTTTTTCGATTCACTCATGGGACGTGTGTGTCGCTGGCCGGACTAGCATTTATTGCCCATTCCAAGTTACCCGTTGAGAAAGTGGTGGTGAGCTGTCGCCTTGAACTGCTGCAGTTCATTTGGTGTAGGAAGATTCATAATGCCATTAGGAAGGGAATTCCGGGATTTTGACCCAGTGACAGCGAAGGAACGGTGATATATTTCCAAGTCAGGATGGTGAGTGGTTTGGAGGAGAACTTGCAAGTGGTGGTGTTCCCTCCCATGTGTTTGCGGCTATTTATACATCTAAATGCGTGTGATTGTAGGTTTTGAAGGTGAAGTCTCAGGAACCTTAGTGAATTTCTGCACTGCATAAATGTAAAATACTATGGATGCTAGAAATCTGAAATAAGCATAAAGAATGCTGGAGCAACTCAGCAGGCCTTAAAGCATCTGTGGGGAGAGGTACAGATTTAATGTTTCAAGTCTGGTATGAGAGAAGAGTAGTATTGGACTTGAAACATGAACTGTTTTTCTCTCCACAGTTGCTGCCAGATCTGCTGGGTTTTCTCCAGCATTTCCTGTGTTTGTTCAGAAGGTATACACTGCTGCTACTGAGCATCAGTGATAATTGACTGAATGGCACCACATCCACCTACAATACTGTCAAGTTTCTTGGTGTTGTTGGAGCTGAACTCATTTGGGCAAGAGGGGAATATTTCATCATATGCCTGATGTGTGCCTTTAGATGGTGGACAACTTTAGGGAGTCAGGAAGTGAGTTACTGCAGGATTTTGAGTCTTTACCTGATCCTGTTTCCATGGTATTTGTATGGTTTGAGCCTGCTGTGCCGTGCAACGAGGCCACGGTTAACCTGATAATCGTCAGCTCCACTTTGCTGCCTTTTTCTCCCATAACCCTTGGTTCACCTACTAAATTAAAAATCAGTGTTGAGGCATCTCGGCCTTTAATAATCTAGCCCCACAATCCCCAAAGGTAAAGAAATCCTTAAATTCAGTATACTTCTGATATTTTGAACCCTGTATATCCAATCCAATCTTTGTCCAATGTAGAAAATGACCTGGATGTCCTTGTTGTTAAGTCACTGAAGGCTAACATTCAGGCGCAGCAAGCTAGCGAGCCTTTGTTTTTTAAAAAAAGGAAATACTTATACCCAGCAGCAGTCTTTGTACAGTCCCTTTCTCTGGACTATTGTTACATTTGAGGTAACTGTGACCTTAACTGGAGCCCTCCAGGGATGTGTTCTCAGCCCCCTACTGTACTCACTGCACATTCTCAATGGTTTTGCCAAATTCCAAACAAACACCAAAACAAGTTTGCTGACAACACCACCGTGGTAGGATGGAAATTGAACAACGTGTCAGAATATAGAAGAGACATATAGGGGGCTTGGTGACATGGTGCACTGAGAACAATCTCTCTCTCAATGTTGGCAAAACTAAAGAACTGATCATTGACGCCCCCATCTACATCAATGGAGCTGAGGTTGAGAGGGTGGAGAGTGTCAAGTTTGTAGGAGTGACAATAACGGACAAACTGTCCTGGACTCCTTATGTAGAAACGACAGTCAAGAAGGCACAACAACACCTCTTCTTCCTCAGGTGGCTCAGGAAATTTTGGCATGTCCACAAGTTCCCTCACCAACTTTTGCATATGTACCACTGAAAGTATACTGTCCGGGTGCATAATGGCCTGGTGTAGCAATTGCTTTGTCCAGGATCATATAAAACTACAAAAGTTTGTGTGCACAGCCACCAGACCATCACAGAAGCCAACCTTTCATCCATAGACTGTATTTACGTGGCCCGTTGCTTTGGAAAGGCTGCCAACATCACCCTGGCAATACTCTCCTACCACCTCTTCCGTCAGGCAGAAAATATGGAAGCTCAAACACACGCACCAGCCGGTTCAAGAACTGTTTCTTTCCTGCAGTTGTTAGACTGATGAACTGACTTTCTAACTTCAAATAATGCTGATCTTGCTAATGTTGATCTCGTGTAGCACATGCCCTGTGCGATGTAACTTATCTGCCTCTGTCTACTTTTTGTTTTGCACCCAATGATCTGCTTGTACAGCTCATAAACAAAGCTTTTCAGTATACTTGGGTACACATGACAATAAATCAACTAAATCTGAGACTGCAACCTCTGGTAGCTTCTTCTTGGAGCTGTCATATAATTTAAATAAACTCTGCTTCAAATCTGTACCCTAGAACTTTGTGGGAAGCTAGGAAACTGATTGCTGGGCCCTTACTGAGATATTTATATCATGTATAGACAGGAGTGACGCGCCTGAAGGCTGGAGGTTGGCCAACATGGTGCCATTATTTAAGAATAGTGGTAGGGAAAAGCCAGGGAGGTACAGACTGGTGAGCCTGACATCATCAGTGGGCAAGTTGTTGGAGGGGAATCTGAGGGACAGCATTTGTATGTATTTGGAAAGGCAAGGACTCATTAGGGATAGTCAACATGGCTTTGTGCTAGGGAAATTGTGTCTCACTAACTTGATTGTCACTTCTTCAGAAAAACTCAGAGGATTAATGAAGGTAGAGCTGTGGACTTCAATAAGCGTTTGACAAGGTTCTGCAAGGTAGACTGGCTAACAAGTTTAGATCACAGGGAATACTGGGAGAGCTAGCCATTTGAATACAAAATTGGCTCGAAGGTAGAAGATGAGGCTGGTGGTGGAGGGTTGCTTTTCAGACTTGAGGCCTGTGATCAGCAGTGTGCCACAAGGAGTGGTACTGGGTCTACTGCTTTTTGTCACTTTTATATAAAATGATTTAGACGTGAATATAGGGGGTATGGTTGGTAAGTTTGCAGATGACACCAAAATTGGAGGATGTATTGGACAGCGAAGAAGGTCACTGAGTACAATGAGACCTTGATCAGATGGTCCAATGGGTCGAGGAGTGGCAGATGGAGCTTAATCTAGATAAATGTGAGGTGCTGCATTTTTTTTTTTGGTAGGACAAATCAGGGCAGGACTTGTACACTTAATGGTAAGGTCCTGGGGGATGTTGTTGAACAAATAGACCTTGGAGTGCAGGTTCATAGTTCCTTGAAAGTGGAGTTTTACAGGTAGACAGGGTAGTGAAGAAGGCGTTTGGTACACTTGCCTTTATTGGTCAGTGCACTGAACATAGGAGTTGGGAGGTCATGTTATGGCTGTACAGGACAATGGTTAGGTCACTTTTGGAATACTGTGTTCAATTCTGGTCTCCTTCCTATAGGAAAGATGTTGTTAAACTTGAAAACGTTCAGAAAAGATTGACAAGGATGTTGCCAGGGTTGGAGGGTTTGAGCTATAGGAAGAAGCTGAATAGGCTGGGGCTATTTTCCCTGTAGTGTCAGAGCTAAGGGATGACCTTAAAGAAGTTTATAAAATCATGGGGGTCACGAATAGGGTGAATAGCCAAGTTCTTTTCCCCAGGGTAGCTGAGTTCAAAACTAGGGCACATAGGTTTAAGGTGAGAGCAGAAAGATTTAAAAGGGACCTAAGGGGCAACTTTTTCGTGCAAAGGGTGGTGTATGTATGGAATGAACTGCCAGAGGAAGTGGTAGAGGCTGGTAGAGTTACAACATTTAAAAGGCATCTGGATGGGTATGTGAATAGGAAGGGTTTAGATGTATATGGCCAAATGCTGGACGATGTGGGTAGATTAATACAGGATATCTGGTTGGTATGGATGGGTTGGACTGAAGCGTTTGTGTCTCTGCTGTACATCTCTGACTCTAAATCCTCTTCAGGGTTTCATCCCAACCCTTCTGATTTGGAACTGTTACTAACTCCTTGTTCTAAGATAATCTGTTCTACTATTTCCTTTTCTTAGGAACACTGCTCTGTGTGCATAGGGCTTTCATAGATGTGCCCAAAACAAAGTAAAACTGAAACAAAGTTACTGCTGTAAGCTATGGGCATTTCCCTTGAACGTATTGAAAACTCCGTGTTCAGAGTCTTCTAGCAGAAATCTTGAGATACAATTGTCTACCTTGCTACATTGTTAAATCCCAAAATGAACAAACCCATTTGGCTGCCAAAATAACCCTCTCAAATTCTTTTAAAATAAATCACCATGGCTACAGAAATACGAGTTACTTACAGGTTTTCTGAGTGCAGTTAATACGTTACAAACTCAAAATTCAAAACCAAAACATAATTAAAATATGTATAAATAAGGGTTTATATCACAAAAATCCATTGCAAGTTATCTAATTAGATGTGTATCTGCTTGAGCAGGTGAAGTAATTTTGTTTCCTGATGGCACCACAAACTGCCTACTGAATTAGGAGTATCCATGGGAAAAGACATTGATGCACTTCTGTTCTCCAAGTAAATGTACAGTTTAAAACATCAAATGCACAAACTATGTAGTGATCTTGATGGCTTGAATTGAGAGTGCAGCTGTAAACAGCTTTAACTAGACGGTACAGCTAAGTAGATCTGTAAAATGCAGCACCATGCTCAGGTGCAGAGTACGGTAACGGATGTGATTTATTGTTAAAATTTATTTATGCAAGCAGCTCATTAGCAAAATCACTTTTATTAAATTAAACATTGGCTATTAGTAAGGACACACAATAAAACAGCATGCATTTAATATCCCTTTTTGTAGTAACTGATCTGTTCTAGATCTGTAGTAACTTTCGTGAGCTAAATTTGAAGAACTCAGATTTGCCTTCCCAATTCTAGAGTCCCTAATGTTCACTAATTGCTCCGTGGATGGTTAATTTAAGGTCCCCTTTGTAGTATTTAATCCAGG